GCAGGAATGCTTGTGGGTGGCCACTGCACCATTGGTGGCCTCTGAAATGGGTTTTTGCCTTTTTTCTGAACAAACATTTGAACCAAGTGTGACTTAGCTGTGCGTCCACACAGGTGTGTGCATATCTCTGTGTGTGTGGACGTACACAAGCACGTGTGAGTGTGTGCGCACGTGCGTGTGCATGCACGCACATCTGTGTGTGGACGTACACAAGCACGTGTGTGTGTGCGTGCGCGTGTGCATTATGCACACAAGCATTGTCCCTGCTTGTGGTGGTTCCCACCTTGAATTTCATGTACTGACTTGGCATTTGGGTTGATTTGCCACCCACGATCTGACGAGGGTATAGGCCAGGGGTGGTGGTGGGGTCTGGGAGATCCTGGCTGTTGGGAGGGTAAGGATGGGCTAGGAGGGGGTGGGAGTGGGGAGTGGGGTCCGGGTGCCGAGGGACAAATCCTGCCTCTCACCCCGTTTACTCTGTTTCTTGATTCCAAGCCTCCATTCGGAGAAGGAAAGGGGGTGAGTCATCTACTGTGCTCGGGGCCCGGCTTTGCCTGACCCTTGGCTGCGGAAGTGCTTGTGTGTGAGGGGCTCCTGTTCGAGTCAGGGGGTCTGGGATCCTGGGTTGCACCCTCCTGTTGGCCATCTCCGTGGGGGGCTGCTGGGGGCACAGTGGAAGGACCTGGGAAGGGTCAGATGGGCCTGAGGTGGTGAGTGTGGCCACAATCCTCGGGGGCTCGAGTGAGTTGGGGGCAGCAGTGTGAGGGCCATGGGGGCTGCTGAGGCGGAGCTGGAAAGGCATCCCAGTGGAGGCCACAGCTCGTGCCACAGCCTGGAGCAGAGGGGGGAAGGGTTCAGAAAGCCCAGCTGTGGAGCTCGCTTGGGGAACAAGGTGACTGGGTTGGTGGGGGCGGGGGAGTCAGGTGCTCAGCCCCAGCCCGTGTTGCTTCTCTCTGCTTGTTCTCTGGGGCTCCTGTGCCTGGTGTGTGGGTCCCGTCTCTGTGCTGATCTGTTACGGGGTCAAGCCTAAGGCTGGCACCCTTTAGGAGCAGGAATCTGTGCCCCAGAGCTCTTGTCGCCCAGGTTGTTGGCTTGACCACCCCTGCCCCTCCCGTCAGACCTCCCACCCTGGATCCTTTGAAGCTCCTTCCTGTATGTCCTGGATGTCCAGCCTGGCTACATGAGGCACAGCAGCCAGGCGGGGACAGAGTCTGGGCCTGGGCGCCGAGGTCCAGGGTCTGGTGGGGTCTAGGGCCTGGCCTTTGCCAGCCGGCTCCACCTCACGTGGAGACCGGAGCCTCTTTCTGCTGCACAGGAGTCTGTGCCAAGCAGGGGCCTGAGGTGGCTTTGTGGCCCCAGGCGTGTGTGTTCACTCGTTTGTCTTTGTGCCTGGTGCCCGCCCACCCCTCACTCTGGGATCCACTGGACCTTCCCTGTGCCAGGGACACACTTGCCTGTCTGTCTGAGCCCGGGTTCCCTATGTGACCTGCGATCTCACCCTCTGAATTCTCCCGTCGCCCTTGCCCCGGTCCCAGGTGAAATGCTTTCCCTTTTCAGGGTCTTTTCAGGTATAAAACAGATGACTAGGTCTCCTCTGGGGACACTTTTCTTCACACCTTTGAGGCAGACACACAAGCTATTTCTGGAATATTTTGGTTCTTTCCTCAGCTCATTAGCGGGGCTCCCAGGGTGCTCTGCTGTGGCCTGTGTGCTGCTTCCAGTTGTAGGGGAAGTGACGGCGATTCGTCGCCCCCGCAGGCCCCTCATCCCTGCTTGGGTCCTGGTTCAAACAGCTGCATCCCCAGCTGCGTCCCTGCCACATAGCGACCCCTGACAGCCAGTGTAGTGCCCCAGACCTGGTTCCTAATGGGCTTCATTTCTTTTGTTAAGTATCTAAAGTCATTTATTTAAGAATGTAGTTTTCTCATTTTGTTGGGGATTGGTGTCCACCTCACCAGCTTGTAGTTTGCAGAATTCTTGATTCTTTTCCTTTTGAAAATAAGTCTCGTCTGGCCTCAGCACCATGGCCCCATGGCCAACAATATTCGCTTTGCTAATAACTTCACATGCACACTGCTTTGGGTCTCTGAGATTGAGTGCTTCTGGACCTAGAGACGCAGCCTCTAAATCCACAACTCGGGTGAGCGTGCGCCCCGTGTGTCCCACGGAAATATCTTCTCTCCGCTCACGTCTTTATGTCTGTGGTTTCCGGATAATCTGGTTGTTAAGTCTGAACTCTTACTTATGGGATCTATGATCTGTGGCAACTTATCTCTCTCAGAGCTTCAGATTCTTCTTGGGTACGATGGGGGCAATAGCGATCCCTTCTGCCTGTGGTGGTTGCAGCATGAGAGGGGCCACATAAACCTCTTCGAACTCTGGAAATCCCCACAGACTTAGCACATGGTGATCATGGTGATCTCAGCTTCCAAAGGGAAATTACTTAACCTCATTACAGAAGCAAACAGGAAGGCCCCTCTAACAGCCCGCCCCTGTCTGCACCTGGTGGCGCTGGGAGCTGTGCACAGGCCAAGCGAGCTGGTCTGTAGATGGAGCGTGTTTTGATGGTCACTCGTAGCATTTGTTGAACTCTCTTGTATCTGGGGACCAGGCTGGACACGCAGGGCATATGCTGGCAAGGGTATTTGCCCTCCTCTCCTGACAGCCCATGTGCTGTTTGGGGAGATGAGGTGCACAGACATGAAGAATTGTAGCAAGTGTGTCCTCAGTGCTTGTGTTGAGCCAGGCACAGCTGTAGCACTGCTGCCGTATGTGCTAATTCTCACAACAGACACTGAAGCAGGTACCTTTCTTAATGCCTGTTATCAGATCAGGAAATCAAGTCACGAAGAGATTAGGTCAGAACAGTCAGTATACAGCATGGGTCTGGGCTGGGTCGGGTACTGTACATCTCGGAGGAGTTTATTTCCTTCCCCACGGTAATTGCTGAGCAGTGCTGGGAGGAGGTGTCAGGGCTGACCACAGTTCTCCAAGGGGGGCACTTGGGGCATAAAAGGACGAAGTGTAACCAGATGCATGGTCTCTATGGTTGGCACAGCTCCTAAGAGTCTGGAAGGGCTCAGGGATTTCGAGGCTGAGTGATGGGTGGGCTGCGGTGGGGCTCCTGGATGAGAGGGGCAGTGTGGCAGCCAGGTGGACGTGGGAGCTGCCCCCAGCCCCTGCTGTGTCCCGTGTGCTGGCCCTAAGCGGGCCCTCCCCAGTCATCTGTCCACAGCTGATAGGTTTCAGACACAAGTGTTTGACGAAATCTCCAAGTCACTTGGTAATCAAAAACACCACTTTCAAAAACATTACATAGCTTTAAGAAAAACAAGCAAACAAAGTTTTTCTTTTATAACAGATTTGAAAAGAGCGCCGCCCGAGGGCACCTGGTTCAGGCCTCAACCCTGGGCTTGTCCTTCCCCCTCCTGGCTTCTGGGGCTGCTTTCTAAGGGGCCGGTGGAAGCCCCCTCAGCACTGCCCCTCCCAATATCCTCTTCTCTGCACCCCCCACCCGAAAGCAGGGTGGGGCTGCTTTTCGGGGGTTGTAGGTTCTGTGGCCTCCTGATCTGCATATAGCTATTTCTTAGGTCTCTAGCCTCCGGCAGTGAGACCCCACCCTGCCCCCCATGGTTCTTGGTTTATACACATTCTTTGTGGGCAGCGACTGTACATCCGGGTCTGTTCGGGGGCTGCAGCTTATCTTTCGGCGCGGCGGCAGTACAGACAGGCGAGTAATGCCATGTGCTAGGAGGAGAATGGAGGGCAGAGGGAGACGGGGAAACTGAGGAGGTCTCTGGGCTGTGAACAGTCCCGCCCCCGCCTGGTCCTCTCCCTAATGGTCAGCCAGGCTTTTCCTGGAGCGGGGTTCGTGGGGTCCCCTGGAGCCTCCCTGAGGACGGAGGGGCCAGGTTGGAGCAGGGTCTGGGTTCTGGTGTGTGAGGGGCTTGGCTGGGATACAAGTTACGGGGCCTCCTGTCTTGGTTCTGGATTGCGTGCCTTGGGGAGTGAGGGGGCCGAGGTGGGCGGGGCCCCAGTGGCCTCTGTCAGCAGCCCCGGGAGGACCAGCCAGGATGCATGAGTGGGGCTGCAGGGGGCTGTAGCGGGTTCAAGGTCCCTGTGGCTGAGACGGCACCTCCTTGGCTGTGCAGAGAAGCTGGATGAGATCCTGGCAGCCGCCACGGAGCCGGCGCTGAGGCCAGACATCGCGGATGCTGACTCGAGAGCTGCCACCGTCAAACAGCGGCCCACCAGTCGGAGGATCACCCCTGCTGAGATCAGCGTAAGCCAGCCTGGCAGCTGGGGGCACTGGGGGATGGGTGGGGCACGGGGTCAGAGTGCCATGTCCCCAACTGGGTGTTTGTGCATTTTGGAGGGTGAGGGTCCGTCATTTGGACTCCACTCTCCAGGGGTGGGGGTGAAGGACCCCATAGCGTCTCCCGAAGACACCTGGGGCCATCAGCCCTCAGAACAGCCACAGTCCAGCTCGTGCTGAGCTCTCACTCTTCTGGCGCCTCCCGCCTTAGGCAGGTTCTGTGCCACCTAGAGCAAGGACCCCAGCCGTGCTGAGGCCACAACATGGTGTCGCTGTCCCCCCCGCCCACTCCTCTCACTTGGCACCTTCTGGGCTGCTCCCCCAGCCTCACCTCGGCCATACCCAGGACCCCTGACTGCTCTGGCCCGTCTGCATCACCCCTGCCCAGTGCTGCCTATGCCTGTGGGCCCGCAGCCATGCCCCTGTTCCTTGGAGGCAGGGCCTGGGCCTGGCTTCTGGGTCAGACACCATGGGAATTAGCACATGGGGTGTCTGATCTCAGGCTTGGGAGGAGGATGGGTGGGGCTGGATGGGCAGCTGGGGACCCCAGTGCTCTGGAACCTTCATATACCCCCGCCCCCTCCAACTCTCACAGTCACTGTTTGAGCGCCAGGGCCTCCCAGGCCCAGAGAAGCTGCCAGGCTCCCTGCGGAAGGGGATTCCACGGACCAAGTCTGTAGGTATGGCTGGGCTGGGAGCTGCATGGGGCTGGGGGACTGGGGCGGGGGCTGGAGTGCGTGCGGGGCTGGAGGACCCTGTCTCTCCCCACCCTTCGACTGAGGTTTCCAGTTTCTGAGTCCTGTCTCTCCCTGGCCCCAACCCAGGAATCTCATTTTTTGTGGATGTATATGGGGGTGCGTGTGGGGTGTCAGTCCTTCCCCCAACCCAGAGATACTCTGCTGAAAGATACCCCTGAGGCTTCTCGCCGTCTGTCACCCGCTGCCAGCGGGCACCCCCGTCTGTACTTCCCACAGACACCAGCACCCCCATCCCCGGGTCTTCCATATCCTACCCGGCTGTGCCCCCTCCAGCCCGAGTACCTGTCACGTTTCTGTCGCTAAGCTACCCTCCCCCGTCCCCCCGGCACCCCAGTTATTGCTCTGTATCTCTCCTCTCCTTCACAGCCAGTTTTCTCCGGAAGTCACCCATACTTGCTGTCTCCCATTCCCTGCCTGCCTCTCGGCCTTTTAGGGAATTGTCCATACCTGAAACTGTTCTCACCAGGGTCACCAGTGGTTTCCAGGGCGTTCCTCCCAGTGGACACATTTGATTTTGCTGCTCCCTCCTCCATGAAACTTTCCTACCCAGGGCTTCTAGGACAACACTTACTGGTTTTCCCCTCAGTTCTCAGGCTGGACCTGTTCAGTCCCCAACGTTCCCCTGCCAGATGTGGGTCCTTCTCAAGGCTATGTGTCCTTAGCCTCTTTGCCTTCTGCACCAGTCTCCTTGGGGCCTCATCACATCTCACCCTTGGCCATCTCCTCTCTTGTTGACCCCAGACTGGGTCATCTAATAAGCCCCACCCACTGCTCCTCCCTCTAGGCATCTAGTCCCCCCTTACCTGCCCACCTGTCCATCCATCCACCTACAGACATGTCCAGCTGTCTGTCCATCTGTTCACCCACTGACCTTTCCACTTGTGCATCCATTTGTCCCTGTGTACCCTGCCGCTCTGTGTTCTACACACACTGGTTCCTTTAGTACTTACAGTAACCCTGCTGAGGTAACACCATCAGTACCTCTGGATTATAGATGAGAAAACCGAGGCAAAGAGGTAAAATGACTTGCCCAAGGTCACACAGCTGCCTTACCTGTCTTCTATTCACTCATCTGGCCAGTTTCCACAAACCCAATCCCTCATTCACCCCAGGACCCCTGCTGATTGATGCACACTCTCGGCTGATGCTGGGCAGGGTCTGGGGGCTCAGTTGGAGGAGGTGACATGTCTGCAGACAGCTCAGCTCAGCAGTTACATGGGGGGTGCAAAAGCACATTTACTAGGGAGCACCAACCATGCTTGGGTGTCAAGAAAGGCCGGGCATGTGTGTGTGTGTGTGTGTTTGGGCTCAGACATGCAGGATACTTGGCTGAGTTGGGGTTTCTGAGAGATAATGGCATGAATTGCTGATAGCAGTGGTCCTTCAGAGACCGCTGTGGGTCATTTCTGTAGGTAGGAGGGTGGGGGAGAGGACACATGAGACTGCAGCTACTTTGGAGCCAAGAGGCACTCCCCCCTCACCTCCCTGGCCTAAGCCCTGGGCGTCCTCTGTGGTTTCCTCCTTGTTCTCTGCCTCCCCACACAAATTAGGGATGGCCGGCTTCCTCACTGTCCTTGCAGCCCTCCCTGGCCAGGCCTCATTGTCTTGTGCCTCAGCGTCTGGAGACCATAGCTTTGGTCTCCTCTTGACCTCCTGCCCCAGCTTCACCCTCTAGTCCATCCCTCTGGCCACAGGGGGCTTTCTGCAGAAGATATCACCTCACATCCCTAGAGTTGGTCCTCTGTGGGCTCTGCCTTGCCTTGGGGCACTGAGGCCCAGCCCCAGCCCTCTCCTGCTTCATCTAGGGACCTTTGTCTCTGCCTCCCTCTGATTTACATCTACCAGGACTGGCTGTTCTCCACCTGACCTCACTCTGCCTGGATGGCCTGTCCCTCAGCCCCACCCAGTCTCAGTACTGACCACCACAGGTCCGCATCTAAGTGCCTGTCCTTCAGGCTGTAAGCCTCTCAGTGGAGATTGCCAGCTGTTCCCTGCTCACCCTCCTGGACCCTCCTGTGCTCAGTCCATAGGTGGCTCATCTTTAATCCCCCTTGCCCTAGCCTGCTGCCTGTCACCCACTTGAACGCTGGCTGAGGTGTCAGACTCCGGGACTCCTACCCCTTGTCCTGGCTACGTGGCCCTGGGCACACATCTCAACCCTTGAAACCTCAGGGTCCTGATCCATAAACACGGGGACCATCTAGTACCTACTTCCTAAGGCCACTCTGAGGTTCGCACAGAGGGCTGTACTCACAGACTGAGTACTGAGTAACTGCTCATGGTGATAGTAGATGTAGGTCCTGCATCTTGAGGCTGGTGCACAGAAAGTGCTGGAGAAATGCTCACGGCTCTTATTTGGGCAGCGGCCCCACCCGCTCTGTATCAGAACGGATTCCCATTTTCATCACAAGGAAAGTGACTTGTCTTTACCCTGGGTCAGAACGTGGCGTGCTGACCCTCCGGCGTGTTCCAGGTGCACTAGCTTGTCCCACGTGGCTCCATCTCATGCACAAGCTTGTGGGTGTTGAGCTGTGTTTATATGCTGCGCAAGAAATGCAGCGGGGAGGAGACCCAGGCCGAACCTGGCACAGAATCTGTGTCCAGCATTGGGGGTGGAAGGCTGGCCTAAAAATGATGATGGTGATGACGACGACGACCTCGGCCACCTTCCTGGGGGCTCAGCCCTGTGCTATAAGCTTTAAATGGCTTCACTTTGCACTTCAGTGGGAGGGGGCAGGTCTCCAGAGATGAGGAAACTGAAGTGCCAAGAGGTTAAGAGGTGTCAGACAAGAAGTGGCAGAGCTGGAATTCAAGCCTTATCTTATACAAAAGCTCCCCCATGCCCCACGCCCCTTGCTGAGCTGGGGGGGTAAAAGAGCCGGTATGCAGGACACACGCAAACAGTGCCGGGTGGGAGGCCTGGTGAGCACTGTGGTGGCCAAAGGAGGAGGTGGTTGGGAACAGGCAGTCTGCATCCTCCTGAGTTCATAAAAATGCGACCAAGCCCAGAGTGAGGCCAGGTGTAGATTCCCAAAGAATTGTTCCAGAGACCTGTGTGTCAGCACCGAGGAGCCACTCCTCCACTCTCCTTGGATCGGGCTGCCTTACACCTGCAGCCTAACTGAACACACCTGCAGCACACGTGTACGCATTGTGTACACAGGAACGCTCGGGAGGTCCTGCCCTGTCCTAGCTGGGCGGCAGGACAGTGGGGGCTCTGAGCGCTCGGGCCCCGACCCCGCACAGATCCTAATGACAGCTGAGTGCAGCCGGAAGTAGGGTTCACTCTCAGTCTGTGTTGTCCATGAGAGAACTGGGGCGTAGAGGGGCTCAGGGCCTGGCCTGGGGTCACACGGCCAATAAGGAGTGAAACTAAAACACGTGTCAGGTGCTCAGCCTGCCATTCCACTGCCGCCCTCCCTCCCTCCTGCCCAGCCTTTCTGAATTTCCGCCACTAGGGCTATGGCAGTGACCTCCTGGCAGCCTCCCCCGGTCCAGTGCCCCTCGGTCTCTGGGGTAGAGCCTTTCAGGACTTCTCTTTACAAAGCCTCCCTCACCTGGGCATCGGCTCTCTCCCCGGCCACAGCCCTGCTGCCCCCTTGTCCACAGCGCATCACTCCTGCTTGGGAGAGTTCCCGCTCATTTCTGACCATCTCCCTGGTTCCCGCCTCTGGTTGCCACCAGGGCCTCCCAGTGACACCTGCTTGTTCCACTGCTGGTGGTTCTGAGATGAGGTCTTGCTCAGTCTTGTGTGCGAAGGCCTGTGCCAGCCACCTCCTGGCCCTTCTCTGCAGTTCTGTCCCCACGACTGGGGGTGGGGGTGGGGCTGCCCCTGCCCTCCTGTGGTGTTGACCTTGGGCCCTCTCCATGTACCCAACCTGAGTAGGCAGAATTTGGGTCTTCTGTCACAGCCTCTGCCGGGGGGCCCTCCTCTCCGTTATATCTGAACGGATACCTCTCCCCAGTCTCCGCAGGAGCCCTCCCAACCCGGCAGGGACGAGCCCAGACTGGGGATCTTGCTCAGATCCCCTGCTCTGGGATCCCCGCGTCTCCCCCTTACCTCATACTGGCGCCCACGCCCACCCTGACTCCGTCCTCTGGCTGGCGGCCAGCACCGCCCGCGGAGGATTGAGAAGGCGTCTTGGCGTCCGGGACCTTGGCCGCCCTGGGGTGTGGGGGCGGGGCCGGCCTCTGCGGCCGGGGAGGGCGGGCCCCTGGGTCGGGAGGGGCCTCCTCGACGGCCCCTGGCTCCTGGGCCGGGCTCACTGGGGCCCCTCTGTCCGCAGGAGAAGATGAGAAGCTGGCGTCCTTGCTGGAGGGGCGCTTCCCGAGGAGCACGTCGATGCAGGATACGGTGCGCGAGGGCCGAGGTATCCCGCCCCCGCCGCAGACGGCCCCGCCGCCCCCGCCCGCACCCCGCTACTTCGACTCCGGGCCGCCCCCCGCCTTCTCGCCGCCGCCTCCGCCGGGCCGCGCCTACGACACCGTGCGCTCTAGCTTCAAGCCCGGCCTGGAGGCGCGCCTGGGCGCGGGCGCCCCGGGCCTGTATGATTCCGGCGCGGCCCTGGGGCCGCTGCCCTACCCGGAACGGCAGAAGCGCGCGCGCTCCATGATTATCCTTCAGGACTCGGCGCACGAGGCAGGCGACGTCCCCCGGCCCCCGCCAGCGGCCACCCCGCCGGAGCGCCCGAAGCGTCGGCCGCGGCCGCCCGGCCCCGACAGCCCTTACGCCAACCTCGGCGCCTTCAGCGCCAGCCTCTTCGCGCCGTCCAAGCCTCAGCGCCGCAAAAGCCCGCTGGTGAAGCAGCGGCAGGTGGAGGATGCGCAGGAGCGCGCGGCCCTGGCCGTGGGCAGCCCCGGCCCGGCGGGCGGCAGCTTCGCCCGGGAGCCCTCCCCGACACACCGCGGGCCTCGGCCGAGCGGCCTCGACTACAGCGCCGGAGACGGCCCCGGGCTCTCGTTCGGCGGCCCGGTCCCAGGGAAGGACCGGCGGCTGGAGGAGCGGCGGCGCTCCACCGTCTTCCTGTCTGTGGGAGCCGTCGAGAGCAGCCCTCCTAGCGCAGATATGCCCTCCCTGCAGCCCTCCCGCTCCATTGACGAGCGCCTGCTGGGGGCCGGCGCCACCACCGGCCGTGACCTGCTGCTGCCCTCCCCCGTCTCCGCTCTGAAGCCATTGGTCAGCGGCTCGAGCCTTGGGCCTTCGGGCTCCACCTTCATCCACCCGCTCACCGGCAAACCCCTGGACCCCAGCTCACCCCTGGCCCTTGCCCTGGCTGCCCGGGAGCGGGCTCTGGCCTCTCAGGCGCCCTCCCGCTCCCCCACACCTGTGCACAGCCCTGACACCGACCGCCCTGGGCCCTTGTTTGTGGATGTGCAGGCTCGTGACACTGAGCGAGGGCCCCTGGCCTCCCCAGCCTTCTCCCCGAGGAGCCCCGCCTGGGTTCCTGTGCCTGCTCGCAGGGAAGCCGAGAAAGCTCCCCGGGAGGAGCGCAAGTCACCGGAGGACAAGAAGTCCATGATCCTCAGCGTCCTGGACACATCCCTGCAGCGGCCAGCCGGCCTCATCGTCGTGCACGCCACCAGCAATGGGCAGGAGCCCAGTGGGCTGGGGGCCGGAGAGGAGCACCCGGGCACCCCAGAGCTGGCCCCGGCCCCCACGCAGTCGGCCGTGGTGGCAGAGCCCCTGCCTAGCCCCCGGGCCCAGCCTCCTGGCAGTACCCCGACAGACCCCGGGCTGGGCCAGGGCAGCTCAGAGGAGGAGCCGGAGCTGGTATTCGCTGTGAACCTGCCGCCGGCCCAGCTGTCCTCCAGCGATGAGGAGACCAGAGAGGAGCTGGCCCGCATTGGACTCGTGCCGCCTCCTGAAGAGTTTGCCAATGGGGTCCTGCTGGCCACCCCACTCCCTGGCCCAGGTCCCTCGCCCGCCACGCTGCCAGGCCCGGCCTCAGGGAAGCCGAGCAGCGAGCCGCCCCCTGCCCCCGAGTCCGCAGCGGATTCGGGGGTGGAGGAGGCCGACACGCGCAGCTCCAGCGACCCCCACCTGGAGACCACGAGCACCATCTCCACAGTGTCCAGCATGTCCACCCTGAGCTCGGAGAGCGGGGAACTCACCGACACCCACACCTCCTTCGCCGACGGACATACTTTTCTACTCGAGAAGCCACCAGTGCCTCCCAAGCCCAAGCTCAAGTCCCCGCTGGGGAAGGGGCCGGTGACCTTCAGGGACCCGCTGCTGAAGCAGCCCTCGGACAGCGAGCTCGTTGCGCAGCAGCACCACGCCGCCGCCGCCGGGCTGGCCTCCGCTGCCGGGCCTGCTCGCCCTCGCTACCTCTTCCAGAGAAGGTCCAAGCTGTGGGGGGACCCCGTGGAGAGCCGGGGGCTCCCCGGGCCCGAAGACGACAAGCCAACTGTGATCAGTGAGCTCAGCTCCCGCCTGCAGCAGCTGAACAAAGACACCCGCTCCCTGGGGGAGGAGCCGGTTGGCGGCCTGGGCGGCCTGCTGGACCCTGCCAAGAAGTCGCCCATCGCGGCAGCTCGGTGAGCAGGGCGGTGTGGGGAGGGTCCTGTCCCCTGTCCATGCCCACCCCGTTCTTCCTCTTGTCCTTCCGCGGCTCCCTCTGTCCCTCGTCCACAGCCCGTCCTGTCCCCTCCCTCACCTGTCCGTGGCACCCATCCCTGTGCTTTTCCCGCCCACATCTCTGTCCTTGATCTGGCCTTGCTTTACCTGTCTGAGACTGAAGGCTCTTTCAGCGATCTGAAATATCAGGAGTTCTGTTCTTTCTATCCCTGTCGGTGCTGGCAGTGGGAGCTGGGCACCCACCAGAGACCCAGGCTGGCCACGAACGCCAGCACAGCCCTGCTGGAGGCTCCCTGCCCCGGAGTCCCTGCGCTCTCACTCTCACACCGGACGTGGCTGCCTCTGCTACCATCAAGGGTCGTTCTCTGGTCCACACTCAAGTTGCAGCTCTCCCCCACCCCCACCCCAGCTACTTGGCTTCTCTGTGGCCACATGGCTGTCCCACGTGGCCGGCGCCATCGTTCCTCGCTTCCTTTCGTAGCTGCCTTGCTTCCTTTTGAAACCTGGAGTACAGTGGATCCTTTTCCTCTTAGGACCCACCACCAGTTTCCCGTTTTCTCCTCCGGAAACATTTCTGTTCTGTCTCTCAGCACCGCCTCAGAGTCCCTCAAGCACAGATCCCTGTGTGTGATTTTCAAAGTGCATCGGGAAGCCATTCTTGGGCGGAAATCATGCCGTTTTTCTGCACCTCCGTCTGCTCTCTTCTCCATACCTTACCCGTTCCTTTGTCCTCCCCGCCCACTTCCTACACAAGGTGGGGACTTAGAGAGGCCACAAGGTGCCCTGGAAGTGGGGGGGGAGGGGCCGAGCAGGGGGCTGGGGTGCTGCTCTGGCTGGGCAGAAGCTGCCAGAGCCTCTGGGCTCATCCCTTGGCCCTTTCCTTGAGGACCTCATTCCCAAGGCTCCGCCCCCAAGGGGTACCTCCTCGGGCCTGTGGGCTCCAGGCTTGCTGGCGGGAGATCTGGTTCCTGCCCACGAGTGGTCTGAGGCAGAGCTGGTCGTCCCCTGGCCAGCCCTTGTCTGCCTTTGCCTTCTGTGCCCCGTAGCCCTCCCCCACCTCTGGCTTTGTGGGTAGCACATGGGGTGCCACCTCCTGAGTCCTTCTCGCCACCCTGAAGACCAACCTAGTGAATCTTTCCTGCCAGCCTTGGGAGGCAGAGTTCACAGAGCAGTGAGGCATCCAGGTCTTGCGCACAAGGGCTTGTCTCATCTACTTTCTTCCAGCTGAGGACTCGAAGGATAAGTGGGGGCTCAGGAGACGAGTGATGCCTCTCCCGCGTGGTTGGGCAGCGCTGCCCTCCGGCTCCCCCGTCACCTCAGGCTTGCGCCGGGGCCCTCCCCTTTTCACCTCTTTCAACTCCCAGTTGAATGTGAAAGCCCTGTTCCCAGCAGGGCGATGTTTAAAGTGCCCTTCGAGTGGGTGTCAGGGGTGTGGCCAGGAGTGTCCAGTTGCAGTGAGCAGCCCAGGTCCTAGGCCTCTGCGGAACAGAGGGCAGGGATCCCTGATGCAGCCTGGACCAGTCCCCATCTTCGCTCTCTGTTTCTCCCCCCTCCACCAGCCCTTCCTTTCCTCTGTGCCCCTTGGTCCTGATGAAAATTAAAGCCATTGACAGCGGGTAGCACAGTGCCTGGCACAGTGCAGGCCTCAATAAAACATTTGCTAAACGGACGAAAGAACAAAGCTAAGTGCAAGTGCTGTCTTTTGTGACTTGAGGTCTAGGGAGGTGGCTTAGGACAAATGCCACAGAAGGACAGACACTTGGTTGAGGTTTGCTGGTTGTCAAGCCCCTTGGCCGAGCTCAGGAGAGCCCAGGTGTTGCCTTAGCTCTGCTGGCTCCCGTGGTGCAGCTGGGCCGTCACAGGGCAGGAGGAGGTGGTCTCTGGGCTGGACCTGCCGTCACGTCCCTCACGGTCGTCCTCAGCGTTTCCCCTTTGTCACGGCGAGGTGCTCTTGGCCAGTGGGTCTGGGTCATGCCAGAACCTGTGATGGTTTCCTTTCTTGGAAGTGGTGTCGGGGAGGGGCAAGGCCAGCAGTTCCAACCTGTACATCCTGTCTGTCCTGCAGGCCCATGAGAGAGTGAGCCTCTTTCACTCAGGAGATACTGCAGAATCCCGGCCTCCGATTGGCTTTGTGTGGATCCCCTGCCTCCCCTGAAACGGTCACTGGGGTCAGGGAGGCATAGGGCTACTGTTGGCCAGGCCTGCCTCATATGCTATCCTGGGAGCCAGGGCACGGGGTCAGCCAGAGCTACCGGATGGGTGCTGAGTGAGGGGGGCGGGTATTCAAAGGAAAATCAGGTGCTGTTCCCAAAGGTACCAGATGCTGGAGAGCCTAAAACAAGAGACTCCCTGTGGCATGGCGTTCACCAGCTTTAGCACCTCGCTTTGTTGCCTGACATCGGCCTGGGGTCAGATGGCCCTGGATTCCAACCCTCAGCAGGTTGCATCTGAGTTTGTGTTCTTGGACAAACCACTTAACCTCAGTGAACTTCAGTCCCACCCCTGTGAGATGGTGAGGGTGACCAGGCCCTCAGGCGGGCCGGTAGGAGGACTCTTAGGGTCCTTACGGGAAAATGAGCGCTCTGCACTGGAAAAGGCCAAGTCACGTTACTTCGTCTTCAGAGCCATTCTGTTCGATGGATAATGATAGAATCTCCATCTTCCAGACGATAAAATTGAGGTTCTAAGGAGATCCATTCCAGCCAGCAGATGGTGGCATCTGACCTCAAGCCCCACTCTCTGTCCACTATAATCTGGAGCCTCTGTCATTCAACCCCTTCTAGTGACAGACACTGTGTTTACGTGCAGCAGTTCCCCTCACACGGAAGTGCATGTGTTCATTCTGTAGACCGAATCTTTGTCTATCAGTCAGCTGTGTAACAAACAGCACGTGGATTCTGAAATCACTTGCAGTTGAGCCCAGCCAGTGCCGCCTGAGAGGCCCAGCAACGTTACCCGTCTGCCCTGCGCTTCCTTCCCCACTTCCCTCTGCATTTCCTTCTGCTCCTATTCACACTTGCTTCCTTCCTTCCGTCCTCTTGTGCGCCCCTTCTTGCCCTCGGACCTGGGTGAAACCATGGCCCTCTGGAGTGGGCCCCGCTGCCTGTCCTAGACCCTTTACTTCTGGCCACTGGCAGGCGGCTGAGCGGAGATGCTGTGGCCACATCCAGTCAGCCCCGCATGTGGCTGGCAGTGGCTGTGTTGCCCATCGGTGCTGCTGGGCGGCTCTTGTTTTGCCGCCAACAGTGGCTAGAGTCTGACACTCGTTTCTCACACAGTGATAAAAGCGCTAGTGATACTGTCTTTCAGAGACATGTCCAAAGTGCAGGAAGTTCTGATGTCCCAGTGGGGCTGTTTCCTTCCCAGGATGGATCCTAGCTGAAGCCCTAGGGCAGTTGCCACGGCCACCCAGTGGGTCACGCCCCTGTGCCTTGTCCACTGGCCCCCCGTGTGTTCCCTCGCAGGCCTGCCCCTTTCCTCACCCGACAGACACCACAAGAAAGGTAGCGCCTGCTCTGCCCACCTTCCTCGCTGGCAGCTCAGTCTAGGCTCTGGCGTCCTTTACCCGCAAGACACTCTGCGGCCCGAGATCTAGGAAGATCTCAGAAGGGGAACAGGGGAGGTTACCCCTTATGTCATGGACTTGAAGCTCGGCACCTTGTGGAAATGGCACTGGGCCATCCGGGAGGCCCATGGCCTTTGGCTTTTTGGAACTTTGATCCCAGACCATCCACCTCTTTATGCTTCTGGCTTTGGGTCTAGCCTGACAGGCAGAACATTTGTCTGCTCAGAGCCCCACATCTGCTCTGAACTCCCTTTGTCTTCCAGACCCCACGGGTGGAGCTGAATCCCACATGTGGTCTGAGGGCCACATGTCTCTGAGCCCCACAGCAGTACTGAGGTTTGCTGTGGCCCTCAGTTTTACACCTGTCTGACCGTCACATCTGATGTTACAGAAAAAAGTTCATGGCGAAATAGCTTTGGAAACACAAAGCTGGCGAGGTTTCTCTCCTGCAGCACTTCTCGGAGCTTTTGACGTGCTGTGTGCTGTGGTCTCGGACAGCTTCTTTAGTAGGTCACTAATTAGCATGCCACAGAAGACGCAAGTTTCTGCGATGGTGGAGAAACCCCGCCCTGGGGACCTACTATGAGCTCTGTCCTGCTAGCCCATCTGACAGGGATCTGGATGAAGCCATACATGACTGCAGGTGCCTCAGGGCTTGTTCTTTTGAAACTGGACCTGTTGTGTGCCGGCCAGCGCAGGGCACAGGGGCCAGGATGTGCTCTGTCCTTGCGGAGGTCCTCACAGGTTGGGGACCTGTGAGGTGTGTTTTTGCAGGAGATGTGATCGGGGCTTCAGGAGTTCATGGAACTCTGCTAGGGGAGCGGGAAGGGGTCACAGAGGAGGGGTCATAGGGGCCTCTGGGTGCATCAAGGTTGGAGCCATGACCTAGTGTGGGCGGTGAGAAGTTAGGGCTGGAGTGAGACACAGAGACCAGAGAGAGTGCAATGGGACGCTCACAAGCCCGTATATAGTTTGTGCTCCTGTTGAGGATTATTTCCGTTAATGAGGCTCTTAAATTTCAAAAGGCCACAGGCCTAGACCTGCCCTGCGTGAGTGCAGTGGCAGAAGGCTCCAGGCAGGGACCAGGGCCGGAGTGGGCTTTTTCTTGCCTGTTGGCACCAATGGGTTGACAGGCAGTCAAGCCTGAGAGTGACATGTCACATTGTTTTATAACACTTTTTTTCAGTGCGTATTGTGTTCCTGGCTTTGAGCTAGGCACCAAGCGTCAAGGATAGCAATTAGGAAGTGAGATGAAAGGTCCCGAGTGAGAGCGTGGAAGGTCTGGGTCCAGAGGTGGCTGCGGGCGAGGAGGGCCAGGGTTAATGCTGGGAGTTGGTGGCACATCGGCCATGGTGGGGAGGATGGAGCGGCTGATGGTGGCTCACAGGCCTCTGGTGTG